GTGCCGGAATCCAAGGAGGAGGCGAAGCAGGCGCGGATTCAGGGGCCATCAATATCGCCGACGCGTTACCAAACCTGAGCGGAGGGAGAGGGAATTTGCAGGTTGGAGCTCTCCTCGGGCGAGCCCGAACAGGTTCTTACAGGCTCCCAGGATCCATGTGCCGGAACCTAAATATGCGAATTGGATTTGGCTATTCTGATTGTAGCCCTGAAGCTGGTGGGTTTGCAGCAAACATTGCGCCAATATGAGACGGCCACGCCAAGCAGCGGGGTGCAGAATTGCCTGTAACATGTTCATCGGTTCTCCCTGAGGAAAGCCACCATTCCTTTCGTACAAGTTACGTGAATTGACTTGTCAAGAGTCATCGGCTGGGGTCTGGGTGCTGTGTGCTTATTTTCAGGCGGTGCGCGACTGCATGGAGAAGCAAGTCTTCGGTGCAGCAGGTACGGAGGTGGTCATCGAGGCAGGGTCCATGGCCAGGGGGGCCGAGATAAGCGAGCCGTAGCCAGGGTGATAGTGGACTCAAATGCGCGCAAAACTGTTCTTCACGTGACCTGACCATGTTGTCACATGATTCTGGCAAACAAGACCTTCTTTGAGAAGTACCAACTGGGCCATTGTCACAACACCTTGTTCAGTTTAAAGACGGTTTGCCCCTGGCAATTGGTATCACGATATTTTGACCAAACCCGTTTAAATTCCTTTTATATCCACTGCCACACGCTTGCCAGTCATTTGCAGAGGAGGTCTCCCTGTCATTCATGAAACCCACCCGCTCCTCAAAGGTGGGGCGGTTGTCAGTGGGCGGATAAATACTGAGACGCTGAGAGTGGATGTTGCTTTTCTTGCCCTTGCTCTAAAAGGACTCTTCGGTTGCCAACCAAGAGAGTAATGAACAATTGCGACTCGCCCGGCGGTTCACACTCCCCAAAAACAGGGTCTCCAGTGTTCGGGAGTTGGGACCAAGCAACATCGAAGGCCCCTTTTGCCAGACCATCTTGAAAAGGGTGCCTGTGCACTCAACATGTTCGTTGGTGAACCACTGTACCCTCTCTTGTGGCAGTGGGTACTCTAAGGTTCCGAAGGGAAACTTAACAGGCATCCAAAGTTGGACTGAGGTTTTCAAGGGAAACCACACAGAGGCCCACTGGCTCACTGGTCAGGAGCGGATCTTCGGCCCCGAGTGCTCCGTGCTGGCGGTTTGCGACGGGCACCGCATTGCAGTGCTGCCCCCAGCCCAGGACCATGGGGTCATTCGCTGCCCCAAAATCTGGCGGGAGGTCAAAATCAATCAACCAGGGGTGCCAGGTGGTAGTGGTTTCTCGCTTTCCCCTTGCGCCCCACTGCAGATAAGGGCTCCTGATCCGGAACCACCTGGATTCTGACATGATTTTCAGCCATTCTCCGAATGCTTAAAAAAAAACATAAGTGTTCCATTCCGCTGTTTGCGGCCCAGGGGCAAGGGAGGCGGAAGATTTCTAGGCGATGTGGAGAAAACGCGGAACATTTGTTTGGCTAGAAACGCACATCGGCAGGAGACCACTTTTTTGATGTGTGATTTGGCGTTCCAAGTCTGATGGACGATCCGTGTGTGAAGTGTGTGAAGTGTGTGAAGTGTTGGTGGCTGTAAAAAAATCAAATTCAATGAAGAAACTCAAGATATGATATAAATGGGATATCAGCCATCGCTCGATCTTAATACACCTAAACCCGGGCCATCCTGAGTCGGCCCAAAACCACACATGACCAAGCCTACGCCGCCCCCCCCCCCCCCCCCCCCCGCAAAAAAAAAGAAAAGAACAGGAAAGCAGAACGGCAGCATGATCTACCAAGGCAAACAAAGGCGCTTGCCTTCCGTGTCAGGACCACAAGAGAGCCTTTGATGGAGATCAGGGTCCCAACACAGGTGGCATGGGTGCCTTCGCGCCTACGCCGGTTGTGAAGGAGGAGATGTTGGAGCAGATCAGGAAGGAGATCCTCGTTCCAACGATCAACGGCCTCCGGGCAGAGGGCAAGCCATTTATCGGCTGCCTCTTTGCCGGCTTGATGATTACTCAGAACGGGCCCAAAGTCATCGAGTTCAACTGCCGCTTTGGCGATCCCGAAACCCAGGTGGTGTTGCCGCTCATCGACTGTGACTTCTACCATCTGCTCAGCTCCTGCGCCAAGGGCGAGCTGAATCCCGACAAGGCGTTCCAAGTCTCGGAGGACTCTTGCGCAGTCACAGTCGTCATGGCGAGCGGCGGTTACCCAGGGTCTTACGAGAAGGGTCACCTTATCTCGGGCCTGGAGCGGGCTGTTGCTCGCTTGCCCAAGGCCAACCTTTTCACCTGTTCACCTTTCTGTCTTCCATATTAACCTGTTGCCCAAAAAGCGCCATTTTTCGCTTGACCTTTCGAGGCAATCGTGCCGGGGGTGACGGTTTTCCACGCTGGCACCAAGCCGGTGGATAACTCCGGGATCTCCCTGACGCTGACCACCACTGCCGGAGCTGCGGCTTTGCAGCGCATGCTGCACCACCGCACCATGCGCCTTGCCCTTGGAGATGTTCTGGAATTGGGGGACCCCCGTTGATGAACTTGGTGGAGGGAAGCTAAATATAGCATCAACCCGTGTTTTTTGTTTAGAGAGGGGGGAGGTCCGCTTATGTTTGGATGTTTGTGGAAACCCGCAACAGTTTGGACGCCCTGAACGATGCGGATTCCGCTCCATGATTTTGCCTCTTGTGTGGGTGCTCGTACTTGTTTGTCACCCTTCCAGCATAGTTCCGATTGTGGGCAATCCAAATGTCCCCCTCAAAAATACGCTCACACCACCCTCACCAACACAAGCCAATTCTTAAACAGCTGGTTAGTAAGGATCACTCGAAGTTTTCCCAAACGACAAACAGCGCGTTATAGCCTGTCATTCGCGTACATGTGCAGTCCTGGAAAACGATGTGCATGATGTGTGTTTACTTTCCAGCTCACTAACCTGCGACCGGCTCAAAGCGATCTAATGTTGCATTCATTGGGTGCGGTCGGGCCACAGAAAAGATGAACTCCTCGAGGAAATCATCACAAGGTTTGGCTCCAATCGATACTGGGAGACATATGAACAAAGCGCATTTGGAAGATTGTGTGATCCTGTGTGAGTGGAAGAACAGCTTTTGGATCAAAAAGAGCGTGCTTCAAGACATGGAGGAGATGGGCTGCACTCAATGGTGACTTGTGCTTAATGGTTTAATGCAAGCTATATCAATTTGGGTGTGAATTTTGAGTGGGGGACCCTTTGGACACCATTTGGGGGGGCCGTTCATGTCAGTCACTTTTGAGGTGGTTCCTTCTCAAAATTCATAGCCATGGGATGATTGCCATCAGTGACTGAGGGCCGGAGGCACAATGAGCTCACCATGATGTTTAAAGGTTTTTTGGGATTCCTTCATTCAGGTTTTGGAACTCTAGCAAAATTTGCAGATTCTCGTCGGGATCCTTCTCTTCAATTTGGCCAATATTCAGAGAAAGGTGGGTGAAGAGACTGGCGAATCAACCTCTCGAGTTTTGCTTGCTTCAGATTTTGGAACTCTACTCAAAATACCCGCTTTTGTCAGGGTATTTTTAGGAAAACCTGGTTTTCCATGGTAAATACCTTTTTTAGTAGAGGGCCACTGAGAAAAGAGGGAATTTGGAGTAGGGGGTATAGCACATTTTGCAGAAGACTGAGGACCCGGGGCGTCATGAAGCCCACCTCGGTGGTCACCTCGGGCGGCCGCGTGCTGGCGGTCACCGCGGTGGCCCACGGGGGCATCTCCGAGGCCCGGGAGCGCGCCTACGTGGCGGTGCGGTCCATCCGCTTTCAGGACGTTGGGATTGGATGGGCCGGGTTCATTCAAAGAGCCAGGTCCCGGAGAAAACGCGTTTTCCGGAAGGGGGAAAGTGGGTCAACCATGTGGAAGGGGAAAAACTACAAGGAGGTGGGTTTTAAGCCATGAAGTGGGCCAATCATGTATGCCAAAAGAAGGGTTGGGCCGCAATGGATCCGGAAACTGTGATGCTGGGCAAACGGCGGCGGGTCGCCTCCTTTGGGCAGGTTTGAGCACGTGCCGTGACTTTGAGAAGTCGGAAAAAGAGCTTCGAAACTGATTGCAACGAAAACTGGAAACGTGCGGCTTGATGCCGTTTTGCCCAGCAATGTGAGCCTTGACATGTGGGAGCACGTGGTTGCCAGCTTCACCCCCCAATCCCACGCCCAGAATTGGCTTCTATTTGACGCAAAGCGCAGGACAGCTTTTACCGCAAAGACATCGGCAGCTCCGCCATTGCCATCCCCCGGCCGCGCATTCGCAGCGGGGGGGAGCTGGCCACCATGGGGGGCCGCCATGTGGTGCCCGACAGGAAGAGCAGCGCAACGTACCTGGACGCCGGGGTGGACATAGAGATGGATGAGGCCATCGGCGCAAGCACCAAGAGCCTCGGCCATTTTCGTTTCGGGGTAGGGCAGCTGATGGGAATAAGCTCTGTGATTCCAGTTGCACCAATAGAAGGACTAGGAATGTTTTTTTTGTTTAATAAATAAATGGATTAATAATTAAATGGGTCTTGCATGATAGCTGCTTTCTGATTTCCTGGGCATGGCATGGGTTTCAAGCGCCAAGGAACCTGATGCTCCGCACGCAGCGCGCGGGGTGTGAACTCTCAGCAGGGGACGAGGGCAGTCACTTCGACATCAACACCTTGTCCTACAAGTCCCCTGGTGTCGTCAGCAGCACCAACGGCATCGGCACCAAGCTCAAGGCCATTCAGCCCCATATGGCATGCATGAAACATGAGAAAAAAATCCCCGGACATCAGTGGACGCTGTTTGGCAAGGTGCCACCTTGTAGGTAGCAGCTTTGCCAAGTATCCATGAGTTGTCCTAGTTGACCTAATTCAGGCAGCGGGGAAAGCACTTTTTGACCGCGTCCAATTCGCCGACTCAACTCGCAAGAAAGTCCTTTGACCTTGTGTCAGATCTATTCGACAGGTGGCCAGTGCCATGGGCCAGTTCCGGAGCATCGGCACGGACTTGTTGGCGCTCTGTGCCAACGATGTGGCAGCGCGAGGGGCAGAGCCGGTGACCTTTGCCAGCCACCACTCTTGCGCCAAACTGGACTCCCACCAGGCACACGTTCAGATTCGCGCTTGTGCCTAGTGTTGTACGTGTTGTCCGCTTATAAAATAGCTATTTATTTGCTTGCTTGTTAGATCTTGTTAGTTTCGTGGGTGGTTGTTTCTGTTATTGTTACTTTGGGTTGGGTGTTCCTATGTTGTTGCGTATGGAATGTAACTTGTTGTTGTGTGTTAGTGCGTGTGTTGGTGGTTTTTTTGTGTGTGTGTTGGTTTGTGTGCATGCGTTGCTGTGTATAGTGGTGTTTGTGTGCTGGTGTGTATGTGTTTGTGTGTTGGGGTGCTTGTTTGTTTGTGCGGTGTTTATTGGTGTGCGTGTCTCGGTGCGTATCTTGCTGTGTGTGTTTTGGTGTGAGCTGTGTCGTGTCATGTCGGGTTGTGTTGTGGCGTGGGGTGGTGTGTGTGTGTGTGTGTGTTGTGTCTGTGTGTGTGTGTTGCGTGTGTTGTGTGTGTGTGTGTTGCGTGTGTGTGTGTGTGTGGTGTTGTGTGTGTGCGTGTGTTTTTGTGTGTAGTGTGTGTGTGTGTGTTGTGTGCGTGTGTTGTGTGTGTGGTCATGTGTGTGTGTGTGTGTGTGTTGAGTTTGCGATGTGTGTTGTATGTTGTGCGTGTTGTGCTGAGTGTGTGTGTGTGTGTTGTTATGTTGTTTGCTTTTGTCGTTATTTATTTCTTTCTTTTCTTTTATTTCTTTCTTTTATTTTCTTTTTTCTCTCTTTCTTTCTTTCTTTCTTTCTTTCTTTCTTTCAACTTTTATTTGTGTGGTGTGTGGTGTGTGGTGTATGCTGTATGTGTGTGTGTGTGTGTGCGGGTTTTGTGTTCGGTATGCGTGTGTGTTGCAAATGTGCAAGTTGCGAATCTATATGATATGTCAATGTTTGGTCCTAGTTGGTCTGTTTAAAATGTTGCCTCAGGAATCGCAGGTGTGTTTCCCCCAATTGGTGGCCGAACCAGGCCCCCAGCCACAGATGTTCACTCGCAACGGCTGGTTGCAAGACGGAGGAGCACAACTTCAACTTTTCAACCCGTTATTTCCATGGCAAGCAGTCCCCTGCTCATTTCGTTTGGCGGTTGAAAGGCGCTGGAGATGAACCAGGGAGTGGCGGAGGGCTGCAAGGAGGCGGCCTGCGCCTACATGGAGGCCAGGGAGAGGGAGGTGTGCGGCCAGAGTGGCACCTGCCGCACCAGCCGAGCACAGACTGCTTTGAATTGTTCTTTTCTTTTTTTATGAGAAGGGGTGTGTACTTTTCCATGTTTGGGTGGGTGCCTTTCAGGCCAAGACTGCAGAGATGCCTGGAGTCTACAACTCCGGGACCTTCGACCTGGTCGGCTTTTGCTGTGGTGTGGCGGAGAAGAGGGACCTGCTGCCCAAGAGGCCATTGTCCAAATGCATGGGCCTGTGCCAAGCCGCATGCAAGAGATTGGGTGTGAGGGTACGGTGTTTGATTTGATAGTGAAAGTCAGTTGGCCTTTGGTGGCAAATTGCATAAACCCTGTGAATAAGGAGGGGGGGTTGAGAATAAGGTTTGTGGTGTCCGGTGTTTTTGCAACCCTAGTCTGTTTAGACATATGTATGAATTGGAGGGCCCCTGTTAATAGTTGTTTCATCGAAACTCAAACTTAGGGGGTGCCCCAGGGACACAATCCCAGGTGTTTCAAGGTTGTTGTTTGTAATCAAGGCTTTTGAACCCATGTTTATCGCTGCTCTGGGCCGTTCAGGCACCAGTTGGGATCAGACATGGTTTTTCTCAAAACGCAAACTTAGGGGACACCCCATGCTCTGCAATGTGGCATCGGTGGAGCACATATTCAGTCATTGGTCGTTAGCCTGCAATTTGGTTTCAGTAGAACAGATGACCCAATGCTCCATAGGCGATCAGCTTTGAACAGTTCAATCACCAGTTGGAATCGGTATTGCTTGCTCAAAACGCAAACTTGGGGGACACCCCGGCTTTGCAATTCAGTCATTGGTTGTGAGCCTGCAATTTCTGAGAATAGCGCTAGCGATGCTTAAATGAAAGCAGTCGTTGTTGGATTAGGATGACTCAGGCATCAGACTTTTCGCAGCAAACGAAACTCCGGTACGTTTGCTGCGCGCTTGCACTGAGAAATTCCGCTAGCAATGCCCAAATGAAAGCAGTCAGTCGTTGTTGGCTTAGGGTGACTCAGGCATCAGACACATCTAAAAGCGAAACTCCGGTACGTTTGCTGCGCCCTTGCATTGAGACATTCCGCGAGCGATGCCCAAATGAAAGCATAACCAGGGACTTCCAGCAACCCATCAATCCGTGCTTCACTCTCCACCCCCCCCCCCGCCCGCAGCCCAGTTTACAAAACACAATGTATACGGCCGGCGTCCCCCCCCCCCCCCGCCCCACCCCCTTCAAAAAAAACATGTTCTCACGTCCGCAATGAATTCCTTATTTTCAAGGAGCGTTTTTCCCCACATCTTTGCGTGGGGTTCTTACTTTTTCCGCTCGTCGTCCGCGCGCCGCGTCTCCTCCTCCTCCTCCTCCCGCTCGTCTCCGTCTCACTCACTCACTCACTCTCACTCACTCAACTCACACTCACTCCTCACTCACTCACTCACACTCCTCAATCACTCACTCACTCACACTCACGCACCACACACACCCCACTCACCTCACTCACTCCCACACTCACCCACACTCACTCCTCACTCTCACTCACTCACACTCTCTCCCACTCTCACCTCCACCACACACTCACTCACTCTCATTCACTCACTCTCATTCACCCGCTCACTCACTCACTCATCCTCCTGGCTCTAGGGACAGGATGTTGTCGCGCGGCGGCAAATCGTGGGCGTGTGCGTGCAAATCGTGGCAGGCGCAGCACTTTGGCGATGCCGTTGCCGAAGTCGTGGCAGGCGCAGCATTCTGTGCATCTGGGTGTGTGTTTGTGTGGCAGGGGTCGCATTCGGCAGCTGTCTAGAGGGACAGGATGTTGTCGCGCGCGCGGCGGGGGGCGTGCGAAATCGTGGCAGGCGCAGCACTTTGGCGATGCCGTTGCGAAATCGTGGCAGGCGCAGCACTTTGGCGATGCCGTTGCCGAAGTCGTGGCAGGCGCAGCATTCTGTGCATCTGGGTGTGTGTTTGTGTGGCAGGGGTCGCATTCGGCAGCTGTCTAGAGGGACAGGATGTTGTCGCGCGCGCGGCGGGGGGTGTGCGAAATGGTGGCAGGCGCAGCACTTTGGCGATGCCGTTGCGAAATCGTGGCAGGCGCAGCACTTTGGCGATGCCGTTGCCGAAGTCGTGGCAGGCGCAGCATTCTGTGCATCTGGGTGTGTGTTTGTGTGGCAGGGGTCGCATTCGGCAGCTGTCTAGAGGGACAGGATGTTGTCGCGCGCGCGGCGGGGGCGTGCGAAATCGTGGCAGGCGCAGCACTTTGGCGATGCCGTTGCGAAATCGTGGCAGGCGCAGCACTTTGGCGATGCCGTTGCCGAAGTCGTGGCAGGCGCAGCATTCTGTGCATCTGGGTGTGTGTTTGTGTGGCAGGGGTCGCATTCGGCAGCTGTCTAGAGGGACAGGATGTTGTCGCGCGCGCGGCGGGGGGCGTGCGAAATCGTGGCAGGCGCAGCACTTTGGCGATGCCGTTGCGAAATCGTGGCAGGCGCAGCACTTTGGCGATGCCGTTGCCGAAGTCGTGGCAGGCGCAGCATTCTGTGCATCTGGGTGTGTGTTTGTGTGGCAGGGGTCGCATTCGGCAGCTGTCTAGAGGGACAGGATGTTGTCGCGCGCGCGGCGGGGGGTGTGCGAAATCGTGGCAGGCGCAGCACTTTGGCGATGCCGTTGCGAAATCGTGGCAGGCGCAGCACTTTGGCGATGCCGTTGCCGAAGTCGTGGCAGGCGCAGCATTCTGTGCATCTGGGTGTGTGTTTGTGTGGCAGGGGTCGCATTCGGCAGCTGTCTAGAGGGACAGGATGTTGTCGCGCGCGCGGCGGGGGGCGTGCGAAATCGTGGCAGGCGCAGCACTTTGGCGATGCCGTTGCCGAAGTCGTGGCAGGCGCAGCATTCTGTGCATCTGGGTGTGTGTTTGTGTGCCAGGGGACAGGATGTTGGCGCGAGCGCGGCGGGGGGGGCGTGCGAAATCGTGGCAGGCGCAGCACTTTGGCGATGCCGTTGCCGAAGTCGTGGCAGGGCGCAGCATTCTGTGCATCTGTGTGTGTGTGTTTGTGTGGCAGGGGTCGCATTCGGCAGCTGTCTAGAGGGACAGGATGTTGTCGCGCGCGCGGCGGGGGGCGTGCGAAATCGTGGCAGGCGCAGCACTTTGGCGATGCCGTTGCGAAATCGTGGCAGGCGCAGCACTTTGGCGATGCCGTTGCCGAAGTCGTGGCAGGCGCAGCATTCTGTGCATCTGGGTGTGTGTTTGTGTGGCAGGGGTCGCATTCGGCAGCTGTCTAGAGGGACAGGATGTTGTCGCGCGCGCGGCGGGGGGCGTGCGAAATCGTGGCAGGCGCAGCACTTTGGCGATGCCGTTGCGAAATCGTGGCAGGCGCAGCACTTTGGCGATGCCGTTGCCGAAGTCGTGGCAGGCGCAGCATTCTGTGCATCTGGGTGTGTGTTTGTGTGGCAGGGGTCGCATTCGGCAGCTGTCTAGAGGGACAGGATGTTGTCGCGCGCGCGGCGGGGGGCGTGCGAAATCGTGGCAGGCGCAGCACTTTGGCGATGCCGTTGCGAAATCGTGGCAGGCGCAGCACGCGATGCCGTTGCCGAAGTCGTGGCAGGCGCAGCATTCTGTGCATCTGGGTGTGTGTTTGTGTGGCAGGGGTCGCATTCGGCAGCTGTCTAGAGGGACAGGATGTTGTCGCGCGCGCGGCGGGGGGCGTGCGAAATCGTGGCAGGCGCAGCACTTTGGCGATGCCGTTGCCGAAGTCGTGGCAGGCGCAGCATTCTGTGCATGTGGGTGTGTGTTTGTGTGCCAGGCGACAGGATGTTGGCGCGAGCGCGGGGGGGGGGCGTGCGAAATCGTGGCAGGCGCAGCACTTTGGCGATGCCGTTGCCGAAGTCGTGGCAGGCGCAGCATTCTGTGCATCTGGGTGTGTGTTTGTGTGGCAGGGGTCGCATTCGGCAGCTGTCTAGAGGGACAGGATGTTGTCGCGCGCGAGCCGGCGGGGGGCGTGCGAAATCGTGGCAAGGCGCAGCACTTTGGCGATGCCGTTGCCGAAGTCGTGGCAGGCGCTGCATTTTGTGCATCTGTCTGGGTGTGGAGATGCCATTGCCGAAGTCGTGGCAGGCGCAGCATTCTGTGCATCTGGGTGTGTGTTTGTGTGGCAGGGGCAGCATTTTGTTACTCATTCGCTCGCATTCATATTCACACTCACTCACACTTCTCGGATGTCTAAAGGGTCGTCTACAAGGCTTGTGTAAGTGCAGAGCTGTGAGTACATGAGGCAGGGTGCATTGTGAGGCAAGCTGTTGGATGTTGAGATTGGGCTCGCAGAAGCTTTGTGTCCAGGGTCACGAACTTATATTTTGCAGAAGTTTTGTCAGAAGTTGGCAGAAGATTGCAGAAGTGTTGTCAGAAGTTTGCAGAAGAATGTTGAGCAGTTCGATCGCATGGCAGAATCGTTGTGTGAGACGTGTTCGCTTGGCCAAAGATGCCGATCGAACGCCACAAAGGCGCATGGCGAGCGTGCGTGTGCAAAGCTGGCTCACGAGTGCGAGGGCCATGTCGAGCATTGGTGAGAGAGGCTGAGCTCGACTTGGCGCACTTGCAGGACGTTGCCCAAGAAGGTTTGTCTGCCCTTGCGGCGGCGGGGAAAGCATTGAGAGATGCGGCCAACTCGGAGAAGGACGTTGTGGGAGTGGATCCCACCGCTTTGTCTGCTGGGCACGACAGCAAGATGGTCGACTCCATGTTGCGGACTGTGCTGGACTGCTTTAGTCAGTGGTTGCGGCAAGGGCACTGCGATGGCTTTGCTCGGGGCACGCCTGCCGCCAACGCTCTGGCAACTCGAGCACGCAGGCTGGAGAGCAGTCCTGGCTTCGCTAGGGTCTTGGACGCTACGAAAGCATTGCTGCGGGAGCACTTTGCCACGGAAGCTTTGGCCCTGCAGTCAGATGCTGAATGGCTGCGTGGTCTTGGCATTCACTGGCGCCTGGACTACGGCAGTCGCCCAAGGCACACCTCCGGCTTGGCCAGCGGCCAAGAGTACGTAGGTCTGCGGAACTTGGGCAATAGCTGCTATTTGAATGCAGTAGTGCAATGCTTTTACAGCTGCGGCCCTTTGCGTGAAGATGTTTCAAGGCAGTCGCCGGCCAAAGGCCCTTTGGCTTCGTGCATGCAGCGTCTTTTTTTGCAGCTTTCAGGAGAGAACGGACACTGGGATTACGTTTCCCCTGCAGCCTTGTT